CTCCTTTGAAGGCCTTGTTTCTTGATGCGCATATGGGCAGTCATACCTTTCTGCGTGCGTTTGCAAGTGCTCCAGTGATACCTATTGCTGTTGAGAAAGGCTGGAGTGAATCTGCCAGTCCCAATGTGAGGGGCCCACCTGCACTTGTGTTCAGCTTTGCGCAAATGGACGACAAGCTGAAGGCTGCCTACAAAGCCACAACCGAGGGCAAGTTCCCAGAGGCACTGAGGCAGTTCCTCAACATCCTATACACCATCCCGCTCCTCGTCGTGGACTCGCGGAGAGAGGTCGATGAGGTGAAGGAGCTTATCGAGATCGTGAGGGAGTACGTCCTTGGTCTCAGGATGGAAGTCAAGAGGAAGGAGCTGAAAAGCGACGCCACCCGGCAGCAGGAGCTGGCGGCATACTTCACCAACTGCAAGCTGCAGAAGGTCCACATGCGCCTCGTCCTCACCAGCGCCATGGGCCTCTGCTTCAAGGGCGGGAACTACGCCACGGCGGCAAACTTTGCCCGCATGCTCCTGGACAACGGCCCGAACGAGGCCCAGGCGAAGAAGGCCCGGCAGGTCCTGCAGGCCTGCGGCGACAGGAAGGACGCCCACCAGCTCAACTACGACTTCAGAAACCCGTTTGTCGTCTGCGGGGCCACCTTCGTCCCGATCTACCGCGGGCAGAAGGACGTGTCCTGCCCCTACTGCGCGTCCCGGTTCGTGCCCTCGGTTGAGGGTCAGCTGTGCAGCATATGCGAGCTCTCGGTGGTCGGGGCGGACGCCTCGGGCCTCCTCTGCTCCCCTACACAATCGAGATAAGATAAGTGGCGACGACTCCGCCTCTGTGTTCATCATGTTTGTATCATCTCCAGTTCCAAGACTGTTGTGTCGGTTATATTCGTACCTACCAGAGATTTTTATCACCAACTTGCGAGGAATAAGTATAGTATAATTGCGTCGTTTCGTCCCCCTTTTTTTTGTGTCGTCGATCGGCGGTAGCCTGGTGCGGCCGTGGTCGGTCAGGTCAGTCAACAAACGGTGTAGGATTTTTGGACAGGCACATTTTTTAGGGCACAATGTTGATGATGTATTTAAATCGGGATTTCGTTATATGATGTACTGCCTAGCGTGTTTGTGTAATGTTTGGCTGGTATTCATTGTTTGTGCGTTCCTCCTTCACTCCCAGTAGCTGTTTTTTGTGTGTCTTTGGTTGCTGTTGACAGTTTCTCCTCCTCCGTCTTTATGCATTGTTAGTGAGCAAGCCTCTTCCAGGGCTTGCATCTTCACAATGCCTGTGTATGAAAAGTTTGTTTTCATTGATCAAGAGTAACATGGATTCCATCAAATTGTCTCGCTGGCCACCGACGACGACGACGCGCATGAAATCGCGATCTCGGGGACTATATGAGAGGTTGAAGAAAGTGAAGTTCAACAATAATAGCCATAGCACTGGCAGCGTGGCTGCTTCACTGATGTTCCCAGCTCCACGCTGAGAACCATAGAAACTGCCTTGTGAAATTTATTTTTCTCGAAACTCGCCACAACCACAAACCCCCAACTGCAAACAACAGACACCGTTAAATCCATGAGGACGACGATCTAAGGCCAACTCCACCGACCTCAAACGGACGTCAATGGGTTCGTCCGTGTCCGGCCTTGTCCGTTGGGTCGTGTGTGCGCCCACTGCGCGGCCGCACCCCAAATCACGTCCGCGTTGGACATGATTAAAAATAAACAAAAAAATAAAAATAAAATGACTAAATAAATAAATAAGCGCAGTTTAATAAACATAAACTTAGTTAGGGGGGTCACGGCCACAAAACGGCCCAGTTTAGTTTAGCAGTTCATACAGTGCCATAATTAACATAAAAATAAATAAAAAACGCCGCCGCACGCTCCAGCCGCGCCCGTCGATGCCATGGCCCTCGCCGTCTTCATCACTGGCCGCTAGTGTCGTCCTCATCGCTGACGAGGTCGATGTAGGCCGGCGGCGTCCAGAGGTGGGGCGGCGGCGCGTGGTACACGGGGGCGGCCTGGAAGGCCGGAGGTGCCTGCACCACCTCCTCCCGTGGCGAGGCCTCCCGCTCCGGTGACCGCGACGGAGTGGCGCACCAGTTCACGCCCACGCCGGCGGCCATCTCCGGAGCAGTGCATGACCAGCCCCACCCCTGGCCCAGCAGCTCCTGGAACGCGGCCACCGGCTCCTCCTCCATCGTCTCCTCCCTCCTCTCCTCCTCCCTGACGGCCGCCATCTGCAGCTCCG